ACGGAATACATGCACCAGTGAACCTACAACTACGCGATTTATATTTTAAAAATAATTAAATTCACTTAGCATTCAAAACTTGTGAATTTTGAAAAAAACAAATTTGCCGATTAAATGCGGACAACCGTTTAACTGAAGTAAAACGGGTTTTCCCCTTGCTATGGATGTCTGCCTAGTTCAGTTCAGCCACATTCCGCTACAGTTCGCCTTTATTATCAGTTCGAAATGGGATGGTTCCATAATACCCGCAGTGTTCCATAATACCACCTTCTCCTCTACTTTTCTTGATAAGATAACAACATATCTTCGATAAGAGTAATATCAGTGTAACATGCACACCATTTGCTAAAATGCAGTTCCTAGTTGATTTGAATTATAAGTGGGTTGTTTTATTTTGTCGAAATTATGAAACTACTCTCCAATTTTTCTGTAAATAGCATATTTGCATATCTCATACGTGGTATTTGCTGATATCCTATAGCAGGGATTTTTAAATTTATCAAGAAGTCCGCATTATAAATTTTTCACATGCTAAAGGCTTCTCTTTGTTGTTTTTATTTATTGCCAGAATTTGTTTCATATTCTTATTGTATATATAACTAGATAACTGTATACTGTTGATCTTAACGCAATTACGACTAGATGAAGTGTAATTTCCTTCAGACGCATTGTACAATTGTTGTTTACTGAGAATTAGTATTTTTGAATTTAGTTCATAGTGTTTTCCAGGTAGAATATTGTGGTTTCTTTTTCACTACATTGATTTAAATTGTCATAAAATGATGACAACGATTTTTCCTTTCCACAATAAAACAGTCTGCTGTTTTGCATATTATATGAAATTTAACGGCAGAAGCATATATTTTTTTATCATTTTAGAACGAGTATATGCTATATAACTTTGTTAAAATTAATTTATATTTTTATTTTATTACTATTTATTGATAAAAAGTAGAAAATGACAGAAAAAGGAAACTAGTTAAAGAAAAGGAATCAAAGTGACTATTCATTACATGTTAATTTAGCTTAGAAATATATATTTTTTTCACTATATTATGTCTTGTTTTATTTATAATTGCAATGAAAAACACCTATAAAAATTTAAAGACGTTTTACTTTTGAGAAGTAAACTTATTGTTCTTAGGACTTTTTCCGAAAATAATTTATTTAAAAATATTGTAAAATCTTTGCGGCACACCTACGTTTTTTTTACTGTACAACAGTTGAAAATCACTGTCCAGACAGAATTTTAAATTCGGGTTTTGTTACGACATTGATCTTGTCGCATTGTACTGTATATTTTTGCAAAAAATCATCTTTAATCGTCGTGTAGTTCCTGGCCCAAAGAAAGTAAGAGGTACTTTTCTTCCTAAAGCTTTCCATGGAGAGTATTTTCTTTTTCTCGAAAACATTCTATAATTCATTGGACTGTATACTGACTTATCTACACATCTCGCGCAATACTTGCATTGAGGAACTCTTTCTTTACATTTCAAAACAATTAATTTTCTGATTGGTGTCGGTACCATTTAATCTTTCTCCATTTTATACACATTGTGATATGCAGGAAGCGTGACGCAAGAAAAGATATTAGAAATTTGATCTTCGAAAACGTCTTCTGATTTACAAAAACCTCTGCTTTCTTTTTGTATTCGTTGAATAAATATGAGATCGAACATTTTAAAATTTATATAAATTTACTTTTTAAATCTTTGATATACGATGAATTTTATTTGTAAATTAATAAGATAAATATATTTTTTAAATAATTCAATTTAACTTCTTTTTACCAAGGAAAAAATGGCTTTGAAAAGAGCCGGTAGTTTGCCAGTTTTGAATAAATCGGCAATTCGGGGTTTTCTCATGGGAAATAATTCCTGTTTAACTGCATAAAATACCGACTTGACAATATTTTTTTTTCGCTTAGATTGCTTCTTTTAAACTGATTTTTTGGAGGGGTCCCGTAACTCCTAGTTCATCTCCATTTCATTCGTGTCTTTGTTTTCGATTTCTTCTTTTGCTGAATTCTTTCCTTTTGGCCCTCGATTAGTTTGATAGAAATGGAGGCGCCCTTCTCGTTTCTGTTTGATTTCACATTCTTGATTCTGGAAAGATCGATCGGATCTTCTGTAGAAAAAATTTTACTTTTGTAAAGCTAAACTTTGTAATAACTAAAGTTAAGTTTGTTGAACTGATTGTACAAAATGTGTTTATTTATTGTATTTACTTTGTCGAAAATAATAATTGACTCTTAAACATTGTTAGTTTTGAAAAGCTGGAAAATTGTAATAGACTAGTAATTTCTTAACAGATTGTATAGTACAGTACATCGAAGAGAAAAAGTTGCTTCACGTTTTCTTAGCTCAACTGTAATTTTCTGAATACATGTGTACAAAAAGATCATGCGTAGTTCTGCCATGATCATGCCTGGATTGAATATATTTAAATGTTTTGTCTTACCGTTGTTCAGGCTAAAGAAGTCATCTCTCAAGATGAAGATTGTCTATCACAGGTGATTGTCAGCGACCAATCAGTGAACATCTCATGCATTTCAATTCTTCCATGGATGTAGTATTTTTAGAGGAAACTCATTGGCCCATTTTAACCGGTTACAAAGAATTTGAGTTTTACTGCGTGATATTCCAAATAAACGGCAATTTATTACTTCTGATTTAAAATAATTGTCAAATTTGTCACTTACTTTAAAAGTTGAAATGAAATATTTTAATACATTTCAATACGGGTTTTTCATTAAATTTAAAAATTTAGGAATTATTATGTTGCTCGATTAAGAATCAAATGAAGTTTGTTTAATAGAAGCTTATAGCTAAACTATATATTTAAATTGAAAATATAACAACAAATCTGAATCTATGTACAGTAAAACCCCACTTGGAATGCACTTTTTTCCCATCGAAACTTTCAGAAACTTACGTAAACTTGCGTACATATTAAACGAAGTGCTACAAATAATTCCTATTGTAAATGAACGAGTTTATTCCAATAACTTACTCCCATAAATTCCATTAGTTTAGAATATGTAGCTGTGCAAATCTTGCTACTTCTGGCAACAGACTGCAATGAAGTTCGTTCAGAAAGAAATTTTAAAAAATTCGAATTTCTAAGATCTGTAATATATTTTCTTGCGTCACGCTTCCTACATATAAAAGGCAAGTTACTTTTAGCAATGATATAATTTATATTTGCTTCTTGTTATTCTTAATATACAGTTTCAAATTTTTTGGATAAAAATGTTACATAGTTAGCTGTGAAATCAGAAGGATTAGAATATATATAGTACTTCAGAAATATCTACACGCATCAAAACGTAAACATTTTCAAACACGAACTTGTAATTTCCAGTATGACAACGCTTGTCTGCACTATGCTAGAAAAAGCGAATTGTGGCTGCAGTCTTTAATCATATAAGTTCAATCTTTTGACCAGGATTAACTTCGACATGCTTTCTACACAAATTGTTTGAAGACTTTTCGTTGACAGTTGCCTTATTTGGCATTAAATACATACATTATTCAATACATAAACAAATTTTTACAAACAATATGATTTTATTCAGTGATGACAATTTCGAACCGTTAATATAAATGCTAAACAAATATATGCAAAATTTTATTTTTGCTCGTCTCATGTATAAACTGAGCTTATTGGAGAGACTGGTTTGTGGAAAAATCACCACTGCATTTCAAACTGTCCAACTCTATAAAAGTTTGATTACCAAGATACAAACTGTAAACATTTGTGGAAGTACAAACGTTGGTTGATACCTAAGAAATTCGAATACAAGAGCGACAACCTTGGAATATTACAGTTTATGAGATGTCACAAACAAATATTACTTTGTATTATATCACTTGTCTTTTTCATCATATCCGGTAACATCTGAAAGTTAAAGCTTCTGAGGGCATAGTACGTAAATGAATACGTACGAAATGAGTACGTAAAAATAAATGTTAAGAAATGAAAGTCATATTTAACAACGTTAAACAGTTAAACCTACAGATTTTTTCGTTATATGGAGTGTTTTCCAGTTCTGCCAATTTTATTCAGGTAAGGAAGGAATTCAAAAAGAATGTTAGAAGTTAGGAGTACACGGAACTTATTCAGAAAACAAGTTATATGTTTACAGTGTTTTTTTTATTTTTTAATTATCAATGATAATGTTTTATTCAGATATATTTCTTATTTTTCTGTTTTGTAATTTTTCATTTTGTAGTAGAAAAGTACCTAATATTCAACAGAGTGAATAGTGTTTTTCGTTAGTCTGTATGAAATAAGAATAACACGTCTAATTTATATTTATGTCAAAAAATTATCCTTTAGGTTCTTATAGTTTGCAAGAACCTATAAAAAGATTTATTCTAAATTTAAGCAAAATTTAACGAATATTTTATATATTTTATAAAACGCCATTTCCTCTAGAAAGCCGAAGATAACCAAACACCACGTGACAATGAAGAGTTTAAGAAACCAGGAATTTCAGTTTATAAATCATACGTCAATGCCGGAGCGGGACTTTTCTTCAAAATTGTTATTTTATCCACGCTAATTATATCGCAATCCCTTACATGTGCCAGCGACTATTGGCTAATCAAATGGTATGATATTATTATAATTATTGTATACTTTAACACGTGAACTGTGTTTTTATATAAAATGTTTAATCAAAACATCATTACATTATGTAAGCCACATTCAATTCAGTATGTTAACATTGTCAGATATAATGAATGAAGAAGTTCTGTGAGTTGCAGTGAATGTGTTTTTTGTACTGTAAGGTCTCGTTTTATGCGGTGGATACGTTCTACAGAAAAGCGCATATAAAAAATTCGCATAAAAAAGACTTTACTTGCCTTGAAAAAGTTGGGGTACGTTTTTGTAATTTTCATAAAACCAAAACAACGAGTTAAAATTAACTTAAAACCGCATAAAAAAGTTTGCAAAAATTAAAAGAAATAGCAAAACACCGCTAAAATTCAATTTAATTTCAAAACGATTACAGTTTATACCTTTTAATGCGAAACTCAGAATGATGTAATAGCAACTTGTCGATGGTAAGTATCACGTACAAGGAGAATCCCCGAATTGCAAAAGCTCACTCTAAAAACAAATCACTGACATCTGGATGTGAAGAGTTAATTTATATTACATAATTATATAATTTATATAAATCGTCTTTAGGTCCACGCCCGAGATATCTCGGGCAGGTTTCATAGCGTTGCATCAAAGACGGTCCTTAAGGACGTTTTCGAATTTTTTTTGAATTTTTGGAATGTTTTTAAGTCTCGAAATTTTTAAAAAATATTTAAAAATATACGGCCAGCTAGTATTCACCTTACTTTAAACCCTTGTCCTCCCGCGACGTCTATGAGAATGCCCCGGGAAATCCAAAACCAGATGTTTTCAAGATCATTCAGCTGTGCAAACAATGACTCAAGGTGTTAAATTTTACAGAAGGGCGAGACAAAGGAAGTTAAACTTTGAAGCTTTTTCTTCAAAATTAACGCATTTCTTTCGTTTTTTTTAGTTTTAAGTATTTTTAATGTTTAATTACATTTATATCAAAAATTGCTAGGAACTAAAGCGATTAAGGTAGATCTAGCTGTCCTTTACATCCATAAATGTTATATGTCAGTGGAACAAATGGAGTGAGCTTCGAGCGTTCCACGATTTTTGGAGACTGTCTATACGCGGGCTTCCTAAACAAGCCTATATGTATG